AATGACTAATTAAATCACTTAGCCACCTTCCAAGTAAAGCTACAATATGAAAAAACCAGAATAACTTCAGTTAAATGAGGACAGTGACAATTGCATGCGTTCTATTGTTCTACTTGATTAATTCCCTCGATTGATGTTCCTGTTGTGTCACATAACTCTAAATATGAGCTTACTATAACTTTTTTTGCCTTCTAAATAAATCCCACTTTGTCTGAAGAGAACTTCCTTTTAGGATTTGATTGTCCAAAGGCCTGTGCTAACAATGGTGTCATAAATAGGGTTCCAGTATCTTCTTACATTAATTAAATGGACATGATCATAACTGATCCTACAGTTAAGAGTTAAGCTAAAGGTGCCAAAAGATGCAGTTTAGCTAGGAGTCAAAAATCTTCCTTTTGTAGGTTGCCTTTCTGTATATAATGATTTTGGATGGTTAAAACACCTGTGGATATATGTTATCTGTACCTAGCTACTTCTTACACTTGACTATAGAGAGTGAATTTCCAGCTTGGTGTGTGTTTCAAGCCTGCCTGGTTTATGACTGAAGCCAGGACTGAGGTCCTAGAATAAGGCGGACACATTCAAATTGCAGGGTTGGGTGGTTTAATGTTTCCCTACATAAAGATGACATCAGTCAATCCCTTCCTTTCTAAAAACCTAGTTGCCTACTTCCTTTTACGCTGCTGTTTGACTTAGAATTGTTAGTGATGGTGACTTTGAGCTTTATTTTAACTAAATTATATTTTTATGCTGAAATGGTTCAAAAATGTAATCAGCATCAGCAATTGGGAGTTGCATAGTTTCTTTTGTCATCTCAGAACTTTCTCCCCACACTTCCCACTTCTTCTTGCTGCATAGGAAGACTGATATTGTCTGGCACGATGTCTCCCCCCAACACCATCTCCACTCTCTTTTCTTCCATTGCAAAATTTCCACAGGAAAAAAGATGGGTTTATTAGGACAGCATTCCCAACCTAGGGTTTTCTGCTCTTGTTAGAGAACAATTCTCACCATTATTAGTCAGGATAATCCATAGTGAAGAATGTTGGGAGGGAAGTCCAACAGCATCTGAGAATGGGGTGGTGGTGATGACTCCTCTAAAATTATTCTTGTTTGACCACCACTAACAATGGAAGAGTCAATTGATACTTTCAGCCCATGGGTAGTACATGTATATAGGGATAACTTCTGTTGGAGGGGGAACTGGGGTCAGGGTCCTGCTTTCCCTTCTCTCCTCTTTTCAACACAATGCATCTCAGCACAAAGAGCCTTTAGATACCACATTTAATTTGTGCTCCCAGCCAGTTCTGTATATGGCTAATGAGAACTTTGTGCTACCCTGGGCCAGATGCTTCTTGCATCATAAATTAAATAGCTTTCAAGACTTTCTTAGGATACCCCAGTACAGAAACCTTGTGGATGGTAGACCCTCCAGCAGGATAATAGTATCTGCTTAAATCCCATCATGTGCAAGTCAACTCTGTTTTTAGACACATTTGTGGATTTTGGTGTGTTTTGGAGATATGGAGGGATAGGCATGGAAGAAAAGGGGATACTACCCAAGCAGATTATCTAGTAAAACTTAAAATATAATGTGCTGTTAGGACAGGGCAGGGACTAGTCCAGGCAGTTGCCAGGAATCAAAAACTGACTCAAAGGCACAAAAAATAAATAATAGGAAAGAGGGTGACTCTTTATCATGCTAGTTGCAGGAGCAAAAACATAAAAGGAATCTGGAATACTGGGTTGAAATCTGCAGGACTGCTAACAACATTTTAGTTTTTTGCCATTTGAAAGCAGAAAACGTGTGAAATTGACTTAACACAGTAAAAGAAAGAAAGAAAAATCCAACTCCCCCCCCCCCCTCAAATGATGCTGTCCATATTTATAGCATAACCCACCTACTTTGCTTCATCTCCCCTCTATACTGGGCCCTTGTTCCATGGTCAAAGCCCCATTCTTCAGCTGGATAAATCTTCTACACAGCTTCACTCCATCCATCTTATTCAGCTGACTGCCCTATCACATCTTGAACTGCTTCCCAGATACCTATCTCAGTTTCTGCACTTCCGCAGAATATTTATCATTCTGACTTGTACCCACACAACTTGATCTTCAGGCTCAAAACCTTCGGCCCAGAGCAATCAAGGACTTATTCTAATCCAGCCATTACTAAAATTGTGATCCACATTTTGTTGCAAATGCCAATGACAGCTGAAGTTAATACTGTGTATGGGTCCTCAAGAAGTGTTAGGACCTCTCTTGACAGCTCCCCAGTTGACCTCTGCTCCCCAGGAGACCTTCTCACTACTAGTAAAGAAATTCAGTACTGATGGCTTTGTGTTAATGAGAGGAGCTGCAGACATATTCAAGCTCTGTGGTAAAATAATTTATCATAGAGATTAGAAGTACTGTGAATGAGTTAGTTAAGTGGAATCTGTTACCAGCTTCTTAATGTGAAGGGTTTTAATTGAATCCACCTTCATCCAGTTGAATCCTCCCTTTGCCAGAGTGAACATTCCAGTTACACAACAGCGATTGCAGTTTCTGTTTTCAATATCACAGCTCAACTGAAATCTGGTTAGCAATATATTCTTACTTTACTTTTTTTTTTTTTAAGAATAGCTTAAAATATGAAAGCAGCACTGAGAAATAAATAAAGAGCCTAGGGCTTCCAACTTAATAATGAGAGGAACACAAGCAGCGTTAGCATTGTGTGACAAATTTGAATATAAACTGGACTGAAATCCTTAAGGCATATGGAGTTTAAATACTGAAAATAAAGTATAAAACCTCCTGAATACTCTGAGGTCAGATTTATTGAAAGCTTGGCTGGTTTCAAGCACTCTGTAAGCTGCCAAAAGTGGGGTTTGGGGTCCTGTTTATCCTGCTGGCTGCCAGAATGGAACAGAGGTTTTATAGACTCCAGCCCTTATTGGCAGAAAGCTGTAGCATATCGTCTCTGTTTTTGCCCTAAGCAGGGGGCATGGTGATCTGTGTCCACATCTGAGAAGAAGTCCACAAGATAGGAGAGGGATCCAGAAAGTGGTAATAGATCTTAACAGCAGTAACAGTGTGCTCCACAAGATTGTGCAGACAGTCTCAAAGAAGGTTGGTGTGGATTCAGCAATTGCAGAGAAGGCATATTGATATAGACATATAGGCATCATTCAGAAATAATGCTAGGTCAATTTTTTAAAATTATGGTTGGTTAAGCAAGCCATAGTGGTCTAGTTCAGCCATCACACTAAGCATAGAGAGTAAATCATGTTTTGATTTGGCCATAGGGTTCTGCAGTGCAGAGAAGGAACCAGACTAGCCAGGATTCACCGTAGCATGGAGGAACTCTACCTGCATGTGTGGTATTTATGAGAAAGGGAACCTTCTCGATCTTCTTGTATCTCACACTTGGCCACAATGGCTCAGCCATGGAGTAGGGGCAAGGATACCTTGTGAAGTGTTGCAATCTTCTCTATACTTTTAACATTTGAAGAAGTTCCATTGAAGCCCCCCTCTCAAAACCTGAACCTTATCTGAGACCTCTTATTCTTTTTCAGCCAAATCATATTTCTCCTCCTGGAAACCTTTTGGTTCTTGGTTGTCATGCAGTGCATTCCCTGGTAGTGTTCAAAGTTAAAACTACTTTAAGTACACTGAAATAAAAATTCAGCACATTGAATATAATATTGGAACAAGTACTCCCGAGTAGGCTAGATGGGGCAAAGGCCTGACACAGGATAGCATAGCTTCAGATATTGGTAAACCTGGAACGGCTTTCCAGAAGATCCACCACCTATTTTCTCTCTGCAGCTTTACCTCTTAAGATCTGTCAAGATCATCATCCCCTGAAACCAAAAAACTTCTGCCCTGTGTTTATTTGTTCAAGGTTTCCTCCTTGGTGTAAACACGTTTAAATCTTTAATCAAGATCAGTTGCAGGCATAGACACATCCCTGAAGTTATTCATAGAGCCCTTTAAACCTATAGGCCTAGTGAATAGAATGCAGATTTTATCTTCTATGGGTAGGCTGAGAGCTGATTCCACATAAGTCTTAAATTCTCTAAGGAAATAATCGAAATGGTTTCCTCATGAGAAATTTCAAACTAATAACCATTCCAATTTTCCTTAGAACCACTGCATTTCAAATTCATTTTTTTTGCTTACAAATTAAATTTACATTTTTACTCTACTGCTCTTAAATTTCACTTATATTAGCTCAGCAGACCTTATAAACCTTTACCATATCTTATTGTAGAGTAGCACCTTATTATAAATGGGAGTGGCTGAAGCTGAAAGTAGTGTTATGGAAAATGGGGATTATAAAGTCAAGCATCAAGAGGACTTCAAGTGGCCTATTCCTGTATGAAAGGCATTTCTTTGTTCTTTCTTGACCAGCTGTTTCAGGGAGTAAATGAAACATTAGTATCCAACTACCTAGATCTTAGTCTGAATCCTGTGAAGTTTCTCTGATTCATTCAGTAAGCAGTTGGAATGTTTATGAACATTCCATAACAACCCAAAATCTTAGACTATTGTAAATCCTATGTGTACAAGATTCAGATTTAAGGGTCTGTGTGGAGGCAATCCATTCCTACATTCATTGCAGTTGTTGGTCTTCTGCTTATCTCTGCTGTGGGGGGGTTTGGCAACTTTTCAAGGGGAATTTGGAAGGGCTTCATGTCAGTGCCCCTTACAACCAGGAGAGATATTCCATTCCAAATGGGACAGACTGTACGGCTTGTTCTTTTCCAAACTTGTGTGCAAATTATGTGGAATCCAGAACTGGACTTTGCAGAGCTGATTCTATATAAAAGACAAGAAGGTCATGGGAAATGCTTGACATAATCCAAATGAAACTTCCAAGCTCTGGGGATTCTAACATGAATGTGGGATTCAATATGCTTATTGATTTATGTCCCATGTCCACCTTTCCCAAGCAAATATGCAAAACTTTGCATTTTGTTCTTTTCTTGCAGCTACCTGGCTGATCAGTGCTGGAATGGCGGCTTCATCTACTTGATCATGTTGCGCCGGATCAAGCGCAAGGCCCCGCTTCCTCCATCAAATGGCAACAATAGTAAGAGCACCGAACCCAAAGCCAGGCCTACCTCTGAGCCCAGTGGGAAAACCACTCAAAATGGCAAAAGGACGAGAAAGTTTGGGGTCATTACCAGAACTTTCCCTGGTGGTAAGGACAGCAAGAGCACCTCCAGAACAGATCATGAGAATGGACGTTGCACCCTTCTGGAAATGGATGGGTTGCATCCAGAGGCATCCAAGACAGAGAATCGAGCAGAAGATCAGCTTCTAACAGCAGATTTTCCTTTTCCTGGAGAGCAGTACCGTTCCCGTCTTTCAGATGGAGGGATTCTAGACCTAAACTCCAGTGAATTATCCTTACAGGTAAAGGGTTTGAGAACGTTCAGTACTTTGATACCAGAAAGATTTTTTAAAAAAAACAAGAGGTAGTGTTCCTTCAATATTTCAACCTTCCTTGAATCTTTAGTGTACTGGAAAAGGTTAAAAAAATGGCAACCAAAATGATTAGTGGACAACAGCATCTTCTAGTGGGCTAGGAGGAAAATCTGTAGACTAGAACTGTTCAGTTTGGAGCAAAGGCGGGGAAAGGTAGATATGATATATAAAATCATGCCTAGTATAGAAAATATGGGCACAGAGAAGCTTATGAACCTCTTTTATGGTTTCAGCATTTTGGTTATCCATGGAAACTGAAAGCAGAGAGATTCAGAACTGATGAAGGAAGTACTTATTTATACAGTGCCTAGTTAACTATGGAATATGTTGGTGGACTGCCAGTCTAAAAGAGAAGTGGACAAATGCGCTGGCAATCAGGCTCCAAACTAGATCTGAAGACCAGCTGGTAGAGATCAGCATGGAGAAAGGTTGTTGATCTCCTGTTCATGATTATAACCTTCCTGAATGAGAAGAATCCTGAACTAGATGGAGCATTGGCCTGATCCAGGAGAGTTCTTATTTCCTGAATCTTCTGCAGGGGCCCTTGTGATCTTCATTCCTTCAAAATCTCCGGCACAAACTAGGTCCTCCAGCAGGGTTGAGGAACTGCATTTAGGCTGATAGTTGCACTTGGCCTTTCAATGACATGTTGGAAGCCACAGATTCCGCAAAGCAGGTGGGGCCAAGACAAAAGGGTTAGTCCTCCCTCCCTCCCTCCCTCCCTCCCTCTCCCATTATGCAGAGTGATAGTAAAATAAACTTAAATGTTTCTCAAGCAATTGAAATATTGCTGCCAAATTCTGAAGGGGACTTTGACAGGCACTGTAAGTAAGTATAAGTAAGAATAGATTGCGGCTGTTGACTTGTTTGTCTTTGGTAACATTTTAGTGAAATGCAATAGTGTGACATGATGTCAGTCTGCTTAAAGTTTCTCCACCTAATTCCATTTAATTGACTGGGCACAAGGCAATTCTGAACGGCTTGTGGTATACTGATTGTCACTGGGCAGGTGCAGATAAGTTCTAATAAATCAGATCAAGAGCAGGATGCTTGAACTACCATGCCAATCAAATGACAATTATCCTGAAAGAACTGTAGCAATCAGATCATTCCACAAACACTGGTGCAATTTGTTTATCCAGTAATGGTTTTTTATATTTATCAGGAAAAGCATTTCTGAGAGTTTTCGTGGCATATGGCGAAGACCGATTACCATTGTGTTTTAGTCTGTAGGTATGAGTGCGTGAGACTGAGACTATAAAATTGTTCATTTTCTAATGTACATAATGGGGAAAAAAAAAGGAAGTAATCCTGTGATTTAGGGGTTGGATGAATTTGGTACATTTCTAAATTTCTGTAAATCTTTGACTGGATGGAAACTGGGCTTTCATAGGACCATTTCAGATTAAAAATTACAAATCAACAGCAATGTTTGAAGATCCGGATTGCCAGTGGCCTTGGGTCTCAGATCATGTACCTCTGATGTATTTCAAGAAGATGTGCAGCTATGGCTTTTACATAAAAGCCTCCTTGCCTAGTCCAAATTTTGGGACCAGACTGCTTTGATTGGCAGACTTTAAAGAAAAGCAGCTATATATGGTATGTTTGTGATCTGGATTGGGTCCTTAAACAGTTTCTGACTGATCCCCCCACTCAGAGATGCTGATTACTGTACACTGCACTTTCAGGAGCAATCTGGGTGGGGAACACTCTCAGCAGCAAGCCACCGCAGGGCCCAGTGAAGACTGAAGAAATATGCTTCTAGCATTTGAAAGGGCTTTTTGCAAAACACATAGGTACAAGCAGAGCATCCTTCTTCCAAGTGTTAAAGTAGTCAGTTCTTCTCAATAAGGCGGTTTCGAATACCTGTCTCTGTTGTTTCTGCATGTATGCATACACAGGTATTACACATTGCTGACGGTCCCAGTAGAAATGTGCTCTGTGCATCTTGTACATATGGAGACAAGCAGGGAAGTGCTTTAAAGTAGCTGGGTGGAACCTTCCGGAGGACATGGCTGCTTTGATGCTTTAAGATTAGGGGCTTTGCTTGCACTAGGGCACTTCACAAAGTGCAGATACTGTGCACAGCCCTACTGTATTTTGGGCTGGAGCCTCTACTGCTTTCTACCCCTTCCGAAGTACGCACTGAAAATTCAAGCCTGCTGTTTTAAAAACAACTTTTAGTAGAATGAGCAAGGCAGGAGGGCATCTCCCTAGACTTAATAATTTTTATAAACTAGGTGCATTTAATGTACATCCTTAGTGCCAACTTGGTGGCAGTAAGAGGCAAGCTGGTGAGCTAAGCACTGAAGTGTTGAACGTTTGAGGCAAAATATTGAATATTGAAATATTGAATGATGAATATGAAGCATTCAGCTCAGCTAATGCTCAGGGCAGAACTGAACTGAGAGCATGGGAAGAACTCCTGCCATGGTTCTGTGGCTGTTTACAGATAAGTGAAAGACCAGCTGCATTTTCACAGTATGTTGAGTTTAGCTTTAATTGTTTTTTGTGGCTTAACCTGATATGTAAACACTCACGGATTCATTGTATCATGTGAATCCAGAAAATAGGCTAAGCACATAGTGCAATTCCAGCCAATCAGAAGGTAGCTAGATGTGCCACTCCACGGCCCGTTCTGCAAGCCTCCAGTGCAGGGGCTGGAAGCCCTGATAGAGCAATTCAGTTAGATATTTCTGAACATTTTCAGATCTTTCCTGGAATACTGGCTTCATACTGCAATTCTCATTAGTTTCCTTAACAAAAGCAAGTGGAGTTTATTTGTTTTCCATGCATAGAAAGGTGGAGGGATATATGTTGGGACCACAAAACCTGGTGAATCTCCATGATTAAAGGGGAAGTCTTGCAAATAAAGAGTTGAAAATGTTGGCATAGCTGCTTGCAAACCGAATGAGCTCCAGGGAATACTCTTATATCAGCACTGAAGCTGCTGACATAATTTCCTTGGCAAGACCCTTAAACTTTCTACTGCACCTGAACTAATATAATCACCCTTTGTTTTTAAAGTTATTTAGAAACACTATCGGCTGGACTGATTTTTTTTTTCAAAACTGGTTCTCTTCACTTGCTCATACCTTCTTGTTGCCTTCATCTAAGCCAAACTTCATCTCAAGCCTGTGATCTTTGTTAATGCATAAGTACTCAACCCTAGATACTCTATGGAGCAGACAGACAAGAAACAGCATATCTGAGTGTTTAAAGAGTGCCTTTTCCTGTGCCAAAAAGCACCTCCAGAGGTATTTGTTTATCCAGGGATGCGAATCGGTAGAAGCAAATATAGGTTTACTGTTTTATTGTTCAACTTCTGAACTAAAGCTTTACTCACTCACATGTTCATATCTATTCCACTTAGTTTGGTCAACCAGGCTGGGTTTGAGTTCCAGAAGAATCAAAGTGGGATGCCCACCATGTCTGATACCTTGTTCAATGTGATGACTGCAAAAGACTACAATTCCCATACATTTTTATAGTCTCCAACGAGGCTTGATTGGTCCCTCAAACATTTGTCCAGTCTCACGTTGGCACTTTTCTTCCATCTCCTGCTTCTTTCCACTAGAACCCCATTACCTTATCCAATTTATGAGGGGGCTATCAGTTGTTTTGAAGCCATGTTTTAATGTGAAAACCTTTTTGTGTCTTCTTCAAAGTCATAATTCTCTAGATGGTATGTAAGCTGAAATCTTTCTTTCTGCCTTTTGGCCTACTTTGAAAGGGCTTATATACCCTATATTTTATACGTGTCCATTCCTATATATGCACAGCAGAAAACTGCATATTTATTTTATTTATTCATTTAAAACATTTATATGGCCGCCCAACTCAACCAAGGTGGCTCTGGGTGGCTTACAAAAAATTCAACAAAACCCACCAAAAAAGAATGCAAAGCCACAATTCTACAAACAATAATGAAACAATGAAACAATAAAATGGCGATCCCAACCGAAATAACACCATCATCCAGTTAGGGCTCCAACACATCGCAACAGAAGGCCCAGGGAAAGAGCTAAGTCTTGACAACCTTCCTGAAGGCCAAGAGGGTCGGGTCCAATTGCATGTCAGGAAGAAAGTTGTTCCATAAGATAGGGGCCACCACCAAAAGGCATACCTCCTGGCCCCCACCAGATTAGGATTGCCAGATATCTGAACAGGCGAAGGAGGACATGGACTATTAGAAAGAAGGGCAAATGTCGGGGAAAGGATGAGATATTTTAACTATCTTGGCATCCATGACAAAAATTACAGTGAAAATTTACTGCCAAAAAAAAAAAAAAGTACTTAGGCCTACATGTATATGAAATTACTTTTTCTGGCATCAGAAAAACTGGTTTTTCAATCACAGGAATGTGCTAAAGCTGGTTAGGAGGCAAAAGCCTTCAGTGTGTAACTGATTAAGGTCTTGTCAATTCCAGGCAGCAGCCCAAGTGGGTGGGAGGGTAGTAATCAAGATCACAGAGCAGAGATTGTTAACTTGTGGTTAGCACTTATGAGGGAAGCTCTCTACCACAGAGAAAAGCTGCTCAGGAAGAGATAGATTGTAGATACCCAAAAAGTCAGACAGTGCTTGATTTTAAGATTGTGACTGCCGGAGGGAGGACATGAGGACAAAAAGGAGGACATTTTGCCCTATACCAGATGGCATTGATTCAACGAAGGGATCCGGAGTGTGCCTTCCCTCTCATAGCATGTGGGGCAGGGAGATTTAGGGCTTTAAAGGTGATAACCAGCACTTTGAATTGCACCTGGAAGCTGGCTGGGAACCACAGTAGCTCACAGGGGTAGTGGTGCCATATGGGCATAATGAGAAGCACCCACAGCTACCCGCACTGCTGCAATTCTGGACCAATTGTACATTCCAGATGGTCTTTAAGGGCCGCCCCATGCAGAATGCTGTGTAGCAATCCTACTGG